CTGAAAAGAAAATAAAGTTGAAGATTAATGGAAAAAAAAACCCAAACTAAATATTACCAGTATTAGCAAAATGGTTATAATGAAATATCCTATTCTATCCAAATTCTTTCCAAAGAAACCCACTTTGCAGTTTCAAAAGCAATATCCTTTGGGAAATGTTAAGGCTACAAATGACAACAAATATATCATTAGCTTTACTAGACTATTAAGAATCAGCATCAGGCTAAGGAAAGCAGCTGTAGAACAGTGGCAGGCACTCAGTTTTAAGAAACATGCTTACTGCATGTTCCTGGTCTTTCTACAGAAGAGACAAAGAGTGTCATCCTAAGACATCATTCTTGCACAACTGAAGTCTCAACTTTCAGGCCAAGTTTCTGCTACAACCAGGTAAAGACAGCAATGTGAAAAATCATATTTTTGTCATTTGTCCCCATACAAAATCCTTATTGTTGAAACTAGATTCTTTACATGTACATCTGGGTGATTTCCTGGCCCAGTTCTCCTCTTCACCTTGAAATACATAGCTTAGTTTCACAGTCTGCATCTGAATGCAATTCCCATTAGTGAGATGGACATGTCAACTAGATAAAGTGTTCACTGAATCGAACATTTTTTCCGTAATCAAAGAATTTCTGTTTGATCTCAGGTGTCACACAAAACAACAAAAGAAATCTTGAAATTAAAGTGATAACCTTGCATACGAGGTCCAATGTAGTGAATAAGTTGTTTTAATAATATTCTTGATATCTCTCTCAAAAAAAAGTATTTTTTTTACCCTTACGTGAACAACAACCCCAGACTGGTCTCATTCTGTGCAAGTACCTTATTTTTCAGGTACAAATACAAATGTACTTCTTTTGAAAAGAGGACAGTTGTCCTCTTCTATTATCATGCATTTACTCCTCCATAAACAGAATCTGAGTGGCTGATTCCTAGATAAATGGCTGAGAGAAAGCAATTTTTCCATGGCTTATGGAATCTTCCACTACCCACTACTGTGGGACCTGGATGTAAGGTAAAATGTCCAAATTATCTGAACTAGACATTGCCACCTTCAAGGAAGGAGCAGAAATTATCATAGGCAAGAGAGTCTTTAATTCTCCATTTCACTGTGCCAACATTTGCAAGAATATGAGGGTTTCATTCCATAAGGAAACCCCAATAAACTACCTCCTGGGACAACTGTGCTATCTAATGGCAAAAGGTTTCAGCACTAAGAAGCATTAAAAAGACTTTACATAAATGTCTCTTACTCTCTGACCAAGCCTAAGGTCACAGACTTGCAGAAGAATTTTTCCTTTTCCAAGGATGTATTACCATACCTCTTGATGAAAAAAGTGGAAAGAAGATAAGTAAGTACAAACTTCAAAGTGTACACTGGTTGATATTTCATAGTGTGAATAAACCATTTTTTTTCAGCAACAGAGACTGGCATTTTGAGCAAATGTATGTCCTTAAAAAGCATTATATGGCAAAATCTACACATTTCACTCCAAAATACAACCACAGTAGCTGAATGCTTTCAGTTGTACTGTCTTGCTTACTTAGTAAATTCAACTTTCTAATAAGGAATAATACATTAAAACGGAGTCACTCTATTAAAGCTATGAAAACACTGCATGTTCATGTATGTGGGCTATATTCTATGCTACTGCTATGCTTACTTTAGATTTGGGCAGAGAAGTCCTCATAGCTATCAAAGATATACATGGCTATCCAGGGGAAGCAGCATGCTGGGCAATCACCTGAACACATGGTCTTAAACTCATGAAAATATGTGTAAAAGACTTATATAAAACATATTAGTTCATCTTTTGCATCCAGTATATTGATGAGTGAAGGATTAAATCTTTACATGAATTCCACTTTAATCTTGGTATCCATGGTTTTTGGAAATTATTCAATGCATTTAACAACAAAGAAACCAGACAGTTCCCATTGAAAAAAATGGAAGAAAAAAAAGCTCAGATCAGCCTATGTTGGGTAAATGATACTTGCTGATCCTTTGAATTGGAAAGGTGGCATAAGAGTTCTTTGAGCAGGTTTGACACTGACTCCATACTCTGGAGCCTCTTTGGTTGGAAAAGCTTCCTTGGTTAAAATTCCATGTTAGGATGCAAACATTATAATATTTAGAAATCTAAAATACTTAGCTTTGATAGTAGCTGTAACATAATTTCTTATGTCTTGTTCATCTACAGTGAAATGAAGAAGACATCTTATTTTCCTCTGTATGCCCTTTTTAAAAAAATCTGAGATTACATTTTAAATATCATTATAATTTTAATTCTCTCAAGCCAAATCTCATTCAAACAGTAAGAAAACTTCTAGAAAAGGAAAATGATTAATTTAAAGCTAGACTTGTTCCCAGCATTATAAATTTCCCTTATGTCCTGAGTAATATGGAGGAGGAATTGCACATACTATTATTAGACGCACTTTAATGTCATGACAATTATTTTTAAAGCAATGGGAATCAGTATATTTTCACGTCTTCCCCCCCCCCCCCCCCCCCCAACTAGTATTACTGCCATATTAGAATCATAGAATAGTTAGGGTTGGAAAGGACTTTAAGATCATCAAGTTCCAACCCCCCTGCCATGGGCAGGGACACCTCGCTCTAAACCATATTACCCAAGGCCTCATCCAACCTGGCCTTGAACACTGCCAGGGATGGAGCATTCACAACCTCCTTGGGTAACCCATTCCAGTGCCTCACCACCCTAACAGGAAAGAATTTCCTCCTTATATCCAATCTAAACTTCCCTTTTAAGTTTTAACCCATTACCCCTTGTCCTACCACTACAGTCCCTAATGAAGAGTCCATCCCCAGCATCCCTATAGGCCCCCTTCAGATACTGGAGGCTGCTATGAGGTCTCCATGAAGCCTTCTCTTCTTCAGGCTGAATTTATATCTGTAAGAATTAGTTTTGGCCCAGTGTAAATTATTAATTAAACTGGAACTTTGTGAATTTCTTGTTTTCATTGCTCTGATACATTTTCTCCAGTCGGGTTACTTTTTGACGACATACTACATCCCATTCTTGCAGGATCCTTGACTATATAGAGTACCCCACAAAACTGAAAGACTAATGGGTCACCCATTGCAGGGGATTAAATGGCCCAAATTCAAGGGCCACTTGTGAGGAAAGAGCAGTTTATTAAATTATTAGTATATTTAAGCCCAATACTAAAGGAACTACCAAGTTTATAACACTGGTGTAATAAAATATGTAGTTAATGTATTATATAAATATTCTAAAGAATTCTGGATGACTAAGAAAAATATGGATAAACAAACACATTAAGCAATTTCAAAAGAAAAAAATGACAGCTTCAACCCAGCATTTATTTCTGAGTACATTTTTTATTACTCTTTTGCCAGAATAAAAGTAACTTATTGCTAGTGCTTTGCATTGCTGTTTTCATCCTACTGTGTAAAACATGTTTCTTCCTTAAAATGAAAGAATTGTGAAGTAATCCTAATGTGAAAAATGTGACCTAAGTTACTCCTTGCTCCTTAAATAGAGTATTTTACATATATATTATGATAATGCTGAAGTTCGTACTATGATATTAACATAAAATGCTATTTCAGAATTAGCAATGCTTATATTCTTGTTAGAATAAGAAGCATTTTTACAGGATATTGAAATTCCACTTGAACAACTGTGTGCAATGTAAACATAAATAAAACTTAAAAAGCATTCTTCCAAATCTTCTGTAAAAGAAAATACAGTATATAATATTTGAATGCAAAAATTATCATTCTTGCACACTCCTAAATAGACTTGAGTTACATAAGCACACACATGGAATAATATTTTTCCTAAGGGGAGAGAATACACGCTCAGATATTATCTGAAAAAAAAAAAAAAAAAGGCATTAACATTCCTCTGTGTTGAATACTTTTTTTTTTTTTTCTCCTCAGGGTGACCTCTACCTTCAGAATATGATGGTTTTATTATGATTAATAAATTTCATTTCCACAGAGGAAAGGAACAGTGTCAGCTTAAACTTAAAGCAAGTGGGTTTCTTTTTAAATGCTAATTTTTAAACACGCCCTTGCATGACACCAAATTTAGAAGCTCAGAAGGTTAGCAGAATAGGTTCTGATTTCCATGCTGAAAACAGTAAAAAGGATTTAAACTATATTGTCACACTGAAAATCAGTAAGCTTGTGGAGTCACACAGTCATTGGATCATTTATTCACTATTATGCCAGCATGCTTACTTCCCATTAAAATTAGTGGAATATAAATGCTTTGTGATAATTAACACTGGAAATAATCATTCTAGGTAAACAATTTACTAAAATTTAGGATATGCAAATGGCAAAGCCTTTAAAATAAATTAATAATCAGTGTGATTATCTGCAGATTTTACAGAATGTTAAATCAATATATCAAAACTAGTACGTGCACTTACAAATTCTTGACTAAGAACACATCTGATGAACAATTTGATGCAACACTAATTAGAACAAGATAAGTACCACTATTTTCCAATATATCTGGAACAAGTATTCAGGACATAACAAGCAAAAAACTGGTATTTGCTAGCATTTTGTTACCATACTGACACTGGTTCTTAAGTAGCTAGACTAACAACTTACAGGGAAATAACAGAGAAAAACAGATCAGTGTAGTCATGTTACCATCTGCAAATGTAGGTGTACAATGTAGGTGCAATGCAGGTAGACACCTAAAGCACAGTGCATAATATGCTCTTCTTTACTCATGCTATGTCTCAGTCCCTTCAAACATTTTCAGTACAGGATCTTACACTGCTAAAATACTACATAAAAGGCCAATTTGTTGTCCATTGCAAAAATAATGATAAAAAAAGAAAAAAAGAGAGTTACAAATGGTAATTGATTGTGAGATTTGTTTCAGTAGGGTCTTTGAAATTGAATCTGTCTTCAAATCATCAGTAGTATGTATTGTTGAAATCTCTAAAAATAGGGAAAGTATGTGCCTCTCTAATTATAATTAGCATAT